GACCCTTTTTGGCCCCGCCCCTCAGGCCCCTGGGGGCGTAGGACTAAACCGGCAACTATTTTTGTTGACCTTTGTCCATGAAAGGTCCCTGCAAAATTTCATTGCAATTGGTTCAGGGGTTTTGGAGAAGAAGATTTTTGAAATTTTAGTCAATTTGACCCCTTTTGGCCCCGCCCCTCAGGTCCCTGGGGGGGTAGGACTAAACAGGGGTTTTGGAGAAGAAGTCGAAAATGTAAATTGTTTACGGACGCACGACGGACGACGGACGACGGACGACGGACAAAAGGCGAACGCAATAGGTCACTTGAGACTTTGTCTCAGGTGACCTAAAAAAACATTGGCCAAAGATATTGAGTTGTACAATGTAATAAAAGAAATCACAAAAGTTTCTCTTTTTTTTTATACGCGTGTAGTTTGTCATTGCATATATGCACTTTATGAAAACATTTGAAAAGGGATATTCGTCTCGTGAATATTCCTTTCTACGGAAAGGTTTGTCCCATGGTTGAAGAAAGGTGTTTAGCCCCGTACAGATGTCACATTCCGGTACTAAATTCAATATATATTTATATATATATACTTTATGTTTATGCCTATTATCATTGTTGACATTTAATTGTAAATGTATGACGGGAGAAGCCCGTGATAAATTGTAAAAACGTGTGCCCCATCCCTTGTTCAATTTTATTGGCAAGAAATATGTTTAAAGCTAAATAAATTTAAATTCTGAATATTGGCAAGTGTGCAATTAACTTCTAATGATGAATAACTACTGTTCAATAAGTTTTAATACGGACTTAGAAATCATATTACTTGGTTTCATAGTGCGGTAAGAAGTTGCAGTTGCCTGACGCCCCTCTCTGGGGGCCCCTTTGGAAACCGTTTCATCTCGCCCAGACCGCTCGTGTTTACTGCCTAGTCAGGTGACGTGATCGGCGCTATTTTTAGCAGGGCTTTCCCGAACAATTCAAGTGGTCAAACTGGACATTTGGAACGGACTATGAATATGGGGATAGCGAGGTAACATAAGTGGAAGTGCATACAATACATACATTCATTAAAAAAAAAAAGGCTTTTCGCGTGATGTCCCTTTAAGTATTTGTCCTAGTTCTTTGTAAGATATGTATTAAAACATGTATGTTTTACATGGTACAACAAGATGTTAATATTGCATCATCTGTTTTGGTCTGGTGGTACCATGTTAGTTATAGGCAGTTAAGTAAGTAGACCTACATAATTGAATATAATTTCTTTTTCTTGGGGGTATTTCAGCTGTGGTACAGCTTCATTTGGGCATTTTACATCATCATGTAATTCGTAAGTCCCCAAAGAATTATTAATTTACATTCAGTTCATCAATATTGCTCCCTTCAAGTTACTTGGCTCGGCTTGCATCAACGGATTATTAACATATGTTTCCTTACCAGATAGCCAACTCAAACTGAAGGTAGTACCAAACACCACAGCTGTTATAGCCCCTTATAGCCCAAATTAATTATTTGTGTAATAAATTGAAGTATTTAATCTCAATATTCCTTGCTTGTGTCTTTTGTTCATAAAACTGTACTTGTACAACACAGAAACTTTAACGGGTACATTCTTTCACAGCTTTACATTTTATATTACCTCCTTGATACAAACGTGACAGGGTGGGCAGTATACATGTACATGAACTTGTTTCTGTTTAGTTTTTGAGGTGGACAAAATATTCTGTTGAATTCTACATAATTCTTTTCACTTAATATTCTGTTAAAATGTTCACAAGTTCACTGTACTAACTAACTTACATTTTCAGTTTTTAGCCAATAGAGATAGTAATACACTGCCAAAGCTTTATGCTGTAAGTATATACAGCCAATAGACCGCCCTATTAGAAAAACACCTTTGTTAAGAGATCACTTTTAAACTGCAGTTATTTTCATGATCACTGAACCTGTGTTAAGAGATCATCTGCAATAAGATTTCACTTAATGGACAAAGGTGGTCTCTGAATACAGGACCAACTATGTATATGTTATTTCTTTCAAACCAGTTGAACTGAGTTTAATGAAAGAGCAGTGATTTTTAAACAGAACATCAGGGTAACAGATACGGACACAGACACTCACCTTTTTCTTCACAACCATCGCCTGTTCTGCTGGCAGGTACTCGAAGGGGAAGACGAAGCGCCAGTTGAAGTTGCCTTCACCATCAAGTGAACGGTAGTGGACGTCCGTCTCCTGTTTTTCGTCAATACCCGAGATCCATCCCTTGACGTAGATGTCACTCATCTGTTCCCCAGTTATGGATTCTTCATCCAGAACAACATCCACAGTGTTCAATATGATACAACGCAGCACAAACCTGACAACAAAATGTGTAACAAAGGTCAGGTAAAAAAACACCAACCTGGGGTCAACTGTGTAAGGTCAACAAAGGTCAGGTAAAAATAAACACCAACCTGGGGTCAACTTTGTAAGGTTAACAAGGTCAGGTAAAAATAAACACCAACCTGGGGTCAACTGTGTAAGATCAACAAAGGTCATATTGATTTTAATGAATCAAATTATAAATCTTGACAGAAATAACAATAGTTTTTTTTATTGACACATTGCGGTAAGCATTGTGATATCATCAAATTCAAAATTTCTTCGTTTGTCAAATATTTTTCGTAGTCTGTACACCGTTTTGATGTGGTCCATCATGTGCGCCATGTTGCTGAGAGTGATTCCCTTTGGCCGTTTGTTTTCGAGAAAAATTATATGAAAATCGATCTCATTAAAAATCACACAATTAAGTTAATAACATCATAAACCAATTAACATACAGCTCATTGTCCCATTGCCTAGACCTGAATTCCGCGAAATTGACCATTATCTTTGACATAAGCCTTTGTTTACGATGAAAAAGTACTTCCGGTGAATGTATTTTACGGAACCATCAACACTATATTGTTTATCACTTTGCATCATATATACTTCCTACTGATGTTTTAAGAAAACAATACTGAATTAATCAGTGTCAGTTTATTAACTTGAAATGATGAATACCGGGTTGTGTCAACATGGTCACCAGTACTTTTCACTGGAGACCAAAACATGAACGTGAAGGTATTAAAATGACCGTGGAATATATCATTGATCTCGTAAAGGTACATTTTTGACTTCGATTTATTAGTTGTAATTTAGACAGTTTTCAAAACGAACGGGCCTAACTTATACTTCGAAACAGCGAGAAATTCGACTCATAAAAGTTTGATTCATGAATATAATATTAGTAGTGTTATATAAAGGGTAAAATATTCGGACTTTGTCTTAAGTTCGACACATCGAGAAATTTGAATCTTCGAAGTTCAATTTATAGAGGTTTGACTTTATTCTTATTTAACAGGTGTACTTACCCTGATGGTTTGACTGTATTCGTATTTAACAGGTGTACTTACCCTGACGGTTTGACTGTATTCTGATTTAACAGGTGTACTTCCCCTGATGGTTTGACTGTATTCGTATTTAACAGGTGTACTTACCCTGATGGTTTGACCGTATTCGTATTTAACAGGTGTACTTACCCTGATGGTTTGACTATATTCTGATTTAACAGGTGTACTTACCCTGATGGTTTGACTGTATTCTGATTTAACAGGTGTACTTACCCTGATGGTTTTACTGTATTCTGATATAACAGGTGTACTTACCCTGATGGTTTGACTGTATTCTGATTTAACAGGTGCACTTACCCTGATGGTTTTACTGTATTCTGATATAACAGGTGTACTTTTCCTGATGGTTTGACTGTATTCTGATTTAACAGGTGTAATTACCCTGATGGTTTGACTGTATTCGTATTTAACAGGTGTACTTACCCTGATGGTTTGACTGTATTCTTATTTAACAGGTGTACTTACCCTGATGGCTTGCGTGGTTCAATGTTGAATGGTGATCCAGGTGGACCGAGTGATTTGGGGAAAATATCCACCCACATCTGTACCTTACCCTGTAACATAATGAACATATGGTAATTGATTATCATACAGCACAACCTTGTACAAAGAGTGCCAATCAACCAGGAAACATTCTTTTGGGACATCCTACATGAAGTATAATGTTTCAGTGATTTGTCGACTTGTTCTGTGTCAACGTGATACATATTTTAACAATTTGTTACACAATATGTAATACAATGTGTTAATATGTTACACAGTGTGACAATACGTTACACTATGTGTCAATACGTTACACTATGTGTCAATACATTACACTGTGTCAATATGTTACACAGTGTGTCAATACGCTACACTATGTATCAATACGTTACACTTTGTGTTTATATGTTACACAGTGTGGCAATACATTAAACAGTGTCAATGCATTACACAGTGTCGATACATTACAGTGTTTCAATACATTACAGTGTGTCAATACATTACACAGTGTGTCAATACATTACACAGTTAGTCAATACATCACACAGTGTGTCAATACATCACACATTGTGTCAATACATTATACAGTGTGTCAATACATTACACAGTGTGTCAATACATTACAGTGTCAAAACATTACACAGTGTGTCAATACATTACACAATTAGTCAATACATTACACAGTGTGTCAATACATTACACAGTGTGTCAATACATTACACAGTGT